AGCCATGCTGAAGACATAGGCGCCATAACTAGCTCTTAATAGAATACTGTCCATTCCTTCCCAGAATCCTCAGCCCTAGTGCAGAAGCTTGCACAGACACAGAGGATCCTTATTTAGGCCCCCTTTGCAAAGTTACTGAGAAAAGGATAACTTCTCTTTTGCTATCTGTCGTCGAAGCTTGCCTCTTTAGGCCTTCCCTCAACATTGTAGGATTCCTTCTTCTTTCTCTTTCTCCCTCCCTGCCTTGTGGCTGTCTGTCAGCCTTGTGTTTGACCTTCATGCCAGCCAAAATGCAAGGCTCTGTCCCTCTCTCTTGTATTGGTCTTCTGCAGTAGTGGAGGTTCACAGCTTGCCTGTCTGTGATTTTCCTGCTGAGTAGTGATAAGGCTGCCCGTGCTTCCCTTTGAGTCCAACCTTAAATTCCTGTATTGATGAGACCAAGAATTCCAACAGGGGGCCTCAGTTTCCCCTTATCAGCTGGAGTACCTGGTTTGAGTTGTGGCATGAGCTCTTATTGAGTCACGGGGTTTGGGAAAGATTATTTTTCTGCATAGTTCCCTTATTCCTAAGCAGATGACATGTGGTGCTGTACAATAGGGGGGTGTGATGTTTATAGCTCTGACGGGGCCTGGTTAGAATAAAGCAGGGTGCATGCATGCAAATATTTGGCATAAATGTTGTGACACAGGTTAGCAAATAATTCAAAGCATAGCTTTCTGGTGTTGACTGAAGTCCAGAGTAGTGAGCAGCCAAGCACTTGCCAAAAGGAGAAAGAAAGAAAGAAAGAAAGAAAGAAAGAAAGAAAGAAAGACAGATCAGGTGGTGGTGCACATCTTTAATCCCAGCACTCGGGAGGCAGAAACAGGCAGATCTCTGTGACTTTGAGGCCAGCCTGGTCTACAAAGTTTCTTCCAGGACAGTTAGAGCTGTTACACAGAGAAACCTGTCTCAAAAAACAAAAACAAAGCAAGCAAGCAAACAAACAAAAACAAAAAAAGAGGAAAAGAAATGGATGTGTAAGAAACAGTTTTCCGAGAGAGTAACAACAGAGGAAGAAAGTGTTCCCCCTTGCCTCCCTCTAATGTCATGTCTGTATAACTGGGTAAACATGCTTGGGGAAAGAGACTAGATGCCTGCATTTACCTTTTGAGACTTGCAGTTAAGGAGTCCTCCAGCTTCTAGCTTCACTGCTCAGTAGCTAAGGTTCTTTACAAGGAGGCGATTGCACTTCTCTGTCCTGAGCCGCAAGTCGCACAGTTTCTTGTGACGGGAGAATGGAAAGGACGACTGAAGGATTAGGGTTGCTAACCGGAGCCGAAAGTGTCACCTAGTGATGGGAAGAGAGGCGAGGCAAGGACCTCCTTGAGGACCGGGGGCTCAATCCTGGGAAAATGACATGGATGATTAGCGAGATGGCTGATGTTGGGGCTCAGCAAGGGCAGATGGTGCCACTAACTGGCTGGCGATGCAGAGACCCTAAACCTACTCCCAGGAAAGGTTCTGTCTGCACCAGGAGGATCTAGATGAAGACTCAGGCCTTTGGCACTGGCTAATTATCTTGAGGTTTCTCACTTTGACTTCAGGTACCATTCCATGACCATTTCAATAATTGTGACTAACTTTTCCTCTTCAAAACCAAAGAAATTTTTTCTGTTTTCTCTTTCTTTCTTTCGTTTGATGTTTGTTTGTTTTAAGGTAGGTAAGATAGCGTCTCTCTGTATAGCCCTGCCTATCCTGGAATTCGCTCTGTAGACCAGGCTGGCCTTGAACTTAGAGATCTGCCTGTCTTTGCCTAAGTGATGAGATTGACAGCATGTGTCACTAGTACTGGTCTTTATTTTTTATCCAGAAATCATTTATAGATATTTATAATCTCTTTTCTAGATTAATAAAAAACCTGCGGGTTTGGTATCGAGAGAGAGTGTCTGCAGATTTACGCTCTCGTTTTCACAGGTCCACAGCTGCGTTCCACTATCAGGGTGGTAAATCCAAGGGGCCTGAGAAGCAGCTGGGCTATTGCAGCTTAGTGATTGTTTTGTGGATTTTGAGTATATAGAGATAATTTTATGGCTCTTTTCTAATTTGACTGTAATCATAGTTAATTGTTTACAGTGTAACAACCCCAAGCCCAGTGTTAGAATGAACTGCAGGCTACTCGATTTCTCCTCTGTCACTGTAAGATAAATCAAAGTATAAAAGAAGCCTCCTAAAGAGGTAGAGAGAGGAAGGAGATAGCAAAATGTGTGGTGTCTATTTAGAGTAAGAGCATGCCAGAGTCTGTCTGTTATCTTGTTTTGTCAAAGGGATTACTGCATACCTGTAATCCCAGCTCAGCTCTCAAGAAGTTGAGGCAGGTTAATCAGGTAGTCAAGTGTAGCCTTGGCTACACAATGGGTCATGGGTCATCCTGGGCTACTTGAGATCCTATCACACACACACACATACACACACACACACACACACACCATCACCACCAATAACAACAACAAACAGAAATCAAAGACAGAGAAAGGAAGAAAGGAAAGAAAGAAAAAGAAAAGCAATGTAGGCTGCTTTGGATTTTAGCTGATCTTAGGCACAGGCAAACATGTCTTGTATGTGCTCGAACCCCTAAATGCTTTGGGGCTGTTTGGAAGCTTGGATAATGAGTGCTAAGGGGTTGTATAAACAGAAGGCTGCGGTATCTGGTTTCAGATGTATTTAAATGGTACTTGGTGCTTCCGGGTCTGTAAAAACACACAAACACTGACCATTCTGAAGTGGAAAGGCATGAATAAACCGGGATACACACTGCACTCCCATTGAACTTCGTTGGTGGACTTCAGTTTCTGTGTCTTCTCCTAGGCATGGAACTTTAGGGGAAAAGGTGGATGATCTTGTTGGTTGAGTTCCTGAATGAGGGTGGAGGTTTGTGCTAGGACCCGTTAGGAAGGCCAGCTTGGTCTATATAGTGAGTTTCAGGAAAGCGAGCGCTACATAGTGAGACTCTGTCTCCAAAACCAAAACTGGGGGTGGGGGTGGGGGTGAGGGTGGGGGTGAGGGTGGGGGCGAGGAGTAGTGAAGATTTGCTGGACAAAGGGGTAGCTAGCTGACTGAAGCACAGAAGCGCAGGCCTTGTGTCAGTGTGGATCATTCAAACACTTGGCTCCTTTCTTCCCCTAAAAGATTTGAGATGAACAACCTATCATGTTTATTGTTCACTTCTAATTAATCTCAAATCCGTCCTATTTTTTTTTTACCTAGCAAAGTCTTCAAATATTCTGTTTATGATCCCCCCAGCGCTCAAGTTTTCTGTTTGTTCAATTTTTATTAAATCCGTTTATATAACTTTGGCTTTGTTTTCTCATATGACACCAAAACAATTGTAAACCAGGAATAGTTTATTTATGAATTAAATGGTGGCCTAGCCGCCATCTGTTGTTGATTTCCCACGAAGTGGCCACACTTCCATCTGAAAACATTGAAGTCACAGACCGCTGCTAATGATCAGTTCGGAGATAAAAATTCCTTCAGCTCTAGTCAGCGCCTGACATTCCCTAAGTGCCTTTGAGCCAGCACCGGGGATTAAATCCGTCTCCCGCTGTGCGCCTTCCGAAGTGGAGACTGACTTTCCCTGCCTAATACTGACCGCTGAGGAAGGCTGGATGAATCGGGACTGTTCGAGAGACTCAGGCTTTGTTTGTTGCCGGTTTTGCCTCTCCGCACCCGCTGTCTTCTGACGCTGCCGTCCCTCCGCTCAATCATTTTCCTCTGCAGGGGCACAGTGGTTGGGCCTCCGCACGACTTCCCACGTACAATGCTGTGGAAGCCAAGGGGGTCTCGGAAGGCTTAGCCTGTGAGGGATCTGTTTTCTATTTTCTCCTCCGGATTGAACTCATCTGGATGAGAACCCTTTTCCTGTTTACGGGTATTATTACCTGTGTGCGGTAGTTTGTCCGCACGGATTGTTTCTCCATGACATGAAACTGTCTGTGGGAAGAGTGAGATAATAAATGCAGTTTTCAGTGAGAAAACTCGGCGGCGGGGGTGGGGGGGAGAATCCCAGTGCTTTAAAGTGGTCTCCACTCTTAAGGTTTTAAAAAAAAAGAAAAACTCAAAATTCCGAATCTACAGTGCAAAGAAAAACTTGAAGGAGGGAAAGGAGGAAAGAAGGAAAGAAGGGAGAAGGAAGAAAGGAAGGATAGAAGGAAATTCTTGTTTCTTGTTCCTGTGGGTCCATTTGTATTCGTGCATATTTTTTACTCCTTTGAGGGTCAATTTCTCCACAGTTACTTTAATCACAGACCCCTGGCGTCACTAGCTCTTGTAGGATGGGGACCCACCACAGCTCTCAGGGGGTTGCGGTCTCTCCGAGGTAGACATTTAAAGTGACTTCGCTCGCGCCTTTCACACTCTGTTCTGACTTTGGGCAGATAGAGATAGCTGTTCTCTGGTTTTCAGTGAGGGATTAGCTGCGGAGAGAGAGGGTCATAGCGGGCTCCCGGGGCGGGGCCAAGGGCACTCCGTGGGTGCGTTGAGACTGTTTCTCCCGTGGGGACCAAGGGTTCGTCTCTGGAGCCAGAGCCCCGAGTGGAGGGGTAAAGGTGCGGGGCTGCTGTCGGGAGCTGCTGTGGGTTAAAGCATCCTAACTATTAGCAAGGTCCCACCTACCCACCAGTCCCCTGAAAACTCACTGCCTTCCGGGAAGGAGGAGCCGGAGGGACCGGGGCCACGGGGTGGAGCTCGTGTCAGCCGAGGTAGGAAGGCGCAGCTGCAAGCCAGGGCGCTGACCTCCCCTGAGCTCCTCCGGCAGCTCGCAGGATCGTCCCGACCCTGCAGGACTTGGCAAACTCCTACCTCCGCTCCCAATAGTTTTCCCCAGACTCCTCCCTCCGGGTCCCCCATCCTTCTCACTTTGCAGAATTCATTGCTTCTTCCAAAACCTTTTTGCAACACACCAGAGCTCCGAGTCCCTTAGCTGAATTCAACTTTTGTTTTTATTTCTCTCTCTGCCTTTTTTTGCCCATCTCATCTGATTGATGTGCGAAGGCTGATGCCTCTGCCAGAGCGAAAGGAATAAATAGAGCCTGCCTCGCCCAAAGGCTTAGACGCCTGGGAAGAGCAGCCAGCGCGGAAAGGACCGGGCTCCGCCAAGCGCGTGGACGGGACCGGAGGACTTGGACCCAAGCGAGCTGTGATTTTCCTAGGGGACAGCTCCCAGGTCGTTGTGCTCACTCCCGGAGTGCAGGAGACCGCCGCCCGGCTGCGCCTTGTCCCATCCTGCCGGGATCATGGTCTGCGGCAGCCCGGGACGGATGCTGCTGTTACGGGCCGGGATGCTGGTCCTGGCTGCCCTCTGCCTGCTCCAGATCCCCGGAGCTCGGGCAGCAGCCTGTGAGCCCGTCCGCATCCCCTTGTGCAAATCCCTGCCCTGGAACATGACCAAGATGCCCAACCACCTGCACCATAGCACCCAGGCTAACGCCATCCTGGCCATCGAACAATTCGAAGGTCTGCTGGGCACCCACTGCAGCCCGGATCTGCTGTTCTTCCTCTGCGCCATGTACGCACCCATCTGCACCATCGACTTCCAGCACGAGCCCATCAAGCCCTGCAAATCGGTGTGCGAGCGCGCCCGGCAGGGCTGCGAGCCCATCCTCATCAAGTACCGCCACTCGTGGCCAGAGAGCCTGGCCTGCGAAGAGTTGCCGGTGTACGACCGTGGCGTGTGCATCTCTCCCGAGGCCATCGTCACCGCTGACGGAGCGGGTGAGTCCTGAACTCTGCCCGACCTCTGAGGAGGAGTTAGTTATTCGCCTTTGCTCTCTCCTTTGCTCTTCAGATCACTTAATCCGATTGACCATCGAGTCCTGTTCTTTTACTTAAAAACAAACAAAAAACTGACTTTATGGTCCTTCCAAATGAACTTAGTCTCTTCCAACAGGTGATGTGATTTGTCCCCCACTCCTGACACTGAGTCTCTCCATAGCTCCCCTTCCCTGCCCATGCTGCGCATGCGGGGTTAGCGAGCCCTCTACACTTGACTTTCTTCTTCGTTTCTTGGTTGATTCTTTTGCATCCCAGTCACCGGGTTGCGTTATCTCTAGTGTTTTTGCCACTTCCAATTGTATGGAGACTTCTAAGGGAATGTCAAGAAACTTCTGACACAGAGATCTGCCAGTGACATGTATTTGCCCCAAACCCAATTTCGTCCATACTATCACCTTAAATTCTCCTCTGCTGTCAGCGAAGAGATGATAATGCCAGTCAGAAACAGCAATGGAATATTATTGCTAATTATCGTCTGTGGCTCGCTCCGGCCAGAGAACCGGGAACGTAGCCTGCAATAACAGGCCCTTTCCACATGCCCACGTGACTCCAGGTCATTCTGTAAATGGCACAGGGACAAATGGAGTCATGTTTTAAGCATGTTATCTTTATAGCCTTATGTGACTTTATTCTTAATCTCATCCTTAATCCCTCCCATACCCTATGTGTTTACAGTACTGGCACACTCACGCTTTCTCCACTAGAAAACTGATTTGTTGAACCCCTATTTGTTTTGCCGCTGACGGTCTAATCGAGGCATTCATAATCTCATGGCCTCTATCTCAGTCCAGCTCAGTATGGTCTATTTTTAGTAAACTCAATATTTCCCTACTGATTATCCCACCCCTCAGGTTTCTCCCTTCGTGTGCTTTAGAGATAACACTTAGGCAAACTGGTTGTCCTCTCTCAGACTCTCCCGGTATCAACTGTTTTTAGGCTGGGTCTCACTTGTTTTATCATTTCTGTTCATTTATTTCAGCACCGGCATTTCCTTCTGTTTCCCAGCTTGCTCATACTAGGCTCGTGTCTGCAGTTTGGAGTCAGTGAATCAGTTATTACGGGGCTGATTCGTTAGCTTAGTGTGGGCGGAAGGGAGAAGGTACAAAGAGCCGAAAGGCGAAGACGGAGCAGAAAGATCTCGCCGCTTTCTGGCGATCACTTTTCTTAGCTTAACACCATGAATATGGAAATTGTCTTCTGAAGGCCAATTGACAATCGAGAGCTGGTTTTCTAAGGTAATCCAAAAGAAACATTCCTTTTGCTGTTTGGCTAAAAGAGAACTCTTGAGCCCTTGCGCCGACTGCTGTCGCAGGCTCTGCAGACACCGCTCCAGCTCAGTGCCCTTGCTATCCTGGCTTGACAAACACCGTTAAAGTCAGCTAAATGCTAGCAGTCTTCTCAGGCCAAGCGCTAGGAGTGATGTATTTCACTCTGAAATGCATGCTCCCCTGAGAAGACAAACTTTGCTTCTGAGCCTAAATCTAGAGAAGGATGCAGAATGAGTGGGGTTTGGCAAGTCTAGGCGCTCTCAAGGGCACAGTCAATGGGGCTAGGAAGCAGTTTCTTAATTGTCCTTGAGTTACCTGTCTCCATAGACCAACTGCGGTACAATTGCCTTCTTGAAGCCCTCCAGAACTTGTGTAGGGATACTTTATCCATCAGGAGATGGCTGCTGGAACGCTTTAAACTTCCATAGTATTTGTTTTGCTGACACCATCTCTGGAAGACAAGCACCTGGGGGGGGGGGGGTTGTCAGGATGCTCCCATGCCTCCAATGTCATATGAAACAGGGACAAGGACCTGAGCACAGGGTTAGAGAGGAACACGCTGGCCCGAAGGGCCCCCTGACATCCAGTCTGCTGAAAACTGCACAGTCCCTCTGTTGGGTGAAACTGTCAGATACCTACAATTATTTAAAACTGCCACATGGAGCTGGAGAAAAGGTTCTGTGATTAAGAGCACCGATTGCTCTTCCAGAGGACCTGGGTTTGGCTCCTAGTACCCACCTGGTAGCTTAACAACAGTCTGTAACTCCAGTTCTGGGAGATTCAGTGCCCTCTTCTGGCGTCTGTGAGTACTGCACTTAAATGGTGCGCCGACAAACATGGCAAGACAGTCAAGCTTCGAGGGAAGAACCCAGTGCTGATGCTGACTCTCTACTCCATGGGCAATTCATACATATGGTGCACAGACATACATGCAGGCAAAACACCCATATGCATAAAAATTTTTAAAAACTACCACATGTCACCATTTTAATTAGTTTATTGGAATACAATAGTTTACCAAACAAGTTTTTTTTCTTCCTTTAGAATCTCTGTGTCTTAGCACTAGATCCTACCTAACCAGATATACAATGAGATCTCTAAAGAGTGGTACAAACCTTCACATGCCCGTGTCAAGAGGATTTCCGTCCATTCATGTCATGCATACGTGTGTTTATATGTAACAAGTTGCGACTCAACAAATAAGCTTAGGACATTTATCAAAACGAAGTCTGAATGAAGCTGACTGATGCTTCAAACTACTTCTGCTTCCAAAACACTGAGAATGCGCATATGTTTATAGAGAACACGTGACATGTCGGCCACAGCTAACGAGTTCATGCTACGTTTAGCGTATATGTCATGTTTACTGTCAAGTGGGGCTTTGAGCGCCACCGTTTGAGAGCTCAGCTCACCCTGGCTATTCTGCTGGTGATTTGAGATATTTAGGCAAATCTTTAAGATTGTCTGCTGAGTGAGGCTTAGAGATCAGGCACATGGGCCCATGCCACTCTGCCTGTTGGAAGATGATGTGACCTCTTTAGCCTTTGCAAGTAAGTAAAGCCCAGCCTGTCTGCATCCTGAAGGCAAGGGGAGGACTAGACAGAGTGTGGACCTTGGGACCTGTCACCTAGAGACCTGAACAAACTGCTGCTCCTGTTTTCCTGTTCTTATTGCTCTTGTATTGAGCTGACTTGTTTTTCCCTTTCATTGGTTTTTTGAGCTTGGTAATGCAGACACCATCTTGAACTCTTAGCACTTTCGCTCTGGGGAGCATGGTTTACCCCAGGATCCAACTGCAGAAGCAGCTTTTATTTCTCCTGAATATAGAAAATTAATGTTTCATTTCCTACAAATCAAGCTGGAGCTCATGCTAAGGAACAGATTTCTGTGGCAGCAATAGAGGGGGAAAAAGTGAGCTTGCCTGATGCCTGTTAACTAGAACTAGTCTATTGAGAGGGACTCACAAGCCTCTGTCTTTTCCTGAGGACCTAAGGGGTTAAAGGTTGCTGGGAGCAGGGGTGTGGGTTTATCTGGAGGCTCCACCCCTCCTTGAGTATCTGTAGGCTGGTGGCAGGGAAGAGAGAGATATTTTCTTCTGTACTCTGGCTACTGGGAAGTGGTCCATCCTGATCTAAGTAGCCCCTCACCCATGCTCCTATAACCAGTCCTAATTAAACTCACAAGTTCACCGAAAGGAATGACTTTTAAAAAATCGTATAAATGATAGGGTATTGTACAGCTCTTTCTAAAACACCTATAGTTGCTGTGCCAAGAGCTTTATAATTGCCCTTTAAAAGCACCCCATTATTGCTGGCTTCCAGTTAGGACCAACATACTCCCCGAGCGCTTGCACAATACAGTCTTCAGGCGCTGGCCTGGCAGAGCCCCGCCACCGTTCACATGCAGAAACGGCTATTTAATCATCTCTCCACTTTCCCAGGAACAGGCAGCCTTTTCTTTAGTACTAGCCCTGGTCGACAAATATTTGAGGGGCCAAATACCAAGAAGCGAGGATGTGAACAAGAACATGGAATGGAAAGAAGTAAAAGTTTTAAGTTAGAACTAGAGAGAAAAAACACGATTCCAAGGATCCTTCATCGTGTCGATACCAGAAGGCATTCTGCCTGGCTTTGGGAGAGAGTCTGTGTTACTAATTTTATTTAGCGATAGCCCAGTTGTGAGTGCTAGTGAAATCTTAGATTGTCCCTAACTTATTTTAATCGGTCACCTTTTGTCTCCCTTTTTTACCAAACTTTGAAATAGTTGTTTGAAGAGAAAAATTGACTGTGTTTTCTTTGGCCCTTGTCTTTCTGTTAGGCATTTAGGAAGAATGTAAGAGCCATTGTGTAGACATATAATTTTGAATAATGAAGCACTAACTGTAGTCAATAAATTTAGAGACAGTCATAGTTCAGAGATGCAGACTCTTAGCTGGTTTTGTCCTTCATTTTCAGCAAGTCACTTGCCTGACATTGGTCAGCATCGGTGTCTCACAAGGGGAGTGAATGGTTGGTAATTGGCAAGGCACAGAATGCATGCTTAATGACAGCCACGCCAGGAGAGGACTAGGATCCTTAGCAGTGGCCGAATAACAGCTGACTACACATACTATGTTCTAGGCATTGTCATATGAGTTGTGCATATGAGTTCTCATGAAAGTACTGTTACTCCTGTTTTACAGGAAAGACCGGCAAGGTACATAGAGAAGTGACCAGTCACGTGAATTCAGTGTGTGAGAAAACAGGGTTCAGACCAGAGTCTGTTCAACACTACTCTTCTCTTGCTAAGAGAAAGGACTTTGATTTTTTTTTTTAGGGGGGAGGGTTCTGTCTTTTGTTCATTAGGTTAAAGTTAAAGGAGCAAAGTATTTTCATTGTGTCAATTTATGGTTTAAAAGAATAAAAGGGCACCCAAGACCATGGGTTCTTTAAGACCATGGGTTCCCCGAGACCATGGGTTCCTTAAGACCATGGGTTCCAGCAGATAAGGGATGATTCTTTGGCTGCATTATTGAGATAGGAGAGAATGTTTGTTCCAGATTCATCTGACCCAGTCTCAGGCTCAGTGAGCCCCAGAGTTCAGGCTTCCCTGCTCTCCCCACTTACTCTTTTTATTTATTTATTTATTTATTTATTTATTTTTTTAAAGATTTATTTATTTATTATGTATACAACATTCTCCCTCCACATACGTCCACACACCAGAAGAGGGCACCAGATCTCGTTACAGATGGTTGTGAACCTCCATGTGGTTGCTGGGAATTGAACTCAGGACCTCTGGAAGAGCAGCCAGTGCTCTAAACCGCTGAGCCATCTCTCCAGCCCCCCCCCCCCCCCACTTACTCTTCTCTAGCTTTCTTTACGCTGTTGTGAGGCTTTGCTACTGTAGTTGTTCAGGTGTTGGATCTGCCTCCCCTGCCTTTCTTCCCGCCTGGTGGTCAGGAGGTATCAAGAACTACCCCTCTATTCACAATCAGGCTTCTTTCCTTCTCTGCCCGTCATTCTCTCTGGGCTCACCACAGCTGACAAGGATATTGAGAATGCAGCCATGGCTGGATCGCCTTTAGATCCACCCTATCTTCCTTGCTGTCTAGACTCACTGTTTGCTTGCCCGAGTCTCTGTTCTAGCCATGCGGGAAGACATTTAGGTCCCATGAAGAGTACTGGATTTGTCACCTGAGTCCCTCTGCCTCACTGTTCTCACACAGGCTCTTCCAGAAATCTCTGTGACTTCACTAGAATCTCTTGAGATACAAAATCTAGCATGCACCCAGCATCTACCATTTCAATTCAGGATAATTTTGATGGTGGAATTTCAGATTTTGACTACCGGAGAAATGATCAGAAAGCTCTGATTTTCTCTTAACAGTTCTGACAATTGAAACCTTTACATTTTAGAAAAACATAGAAACATCTCTGGCAATAAGAATATAAAATCAAGAAAATGTTCACCTTGGTTCAACTGTTTCAAAGAAGTCCCTCCCCGCAAGAAGCTTTGTTTTTGTCATCTCATATAAACCTTAAATGCTATTTTTTTTGTTGCTGCTGCTGCTATTGTTTTGGTTTTTGTGTTTTTGAGGCAGGATTTTTCTGTGTAGTTCTGGCTGTCCTTGAGCTCACTCTGTAGCCCAGGCTGGCCTTGAACTCAGAGAGCTCCACCTGCCTCTGCCTGGGATTAAAGGCCTGTGCCACTGCTGCATGACAAATGCTAAATGTTTTAAATGTGGACCAATATAATTCATTCATACTGGGAGATTATTTTATATAAACAGTATGCATTGTATCTCATCGTTCTTCAGGAATAGAAACACTGGTGTATTACTTTACAACTTGGGTACATTTATCATGAATAAAGTCTGAATAGGGCAAATGTCATCAAGTTAACGACTTACGTAAGATGCTTGTGGAGCCCGTGTTTGTTGTTTATTCATCTATGTGGAGACCTCTGTCTTTCCTTAGATACAGCTTCTTTGCATGTTAGCTTATGGCCATGGGTGTAGCTCAGTAACATGCACGAAACCCTGGGTTCTATACCCAGCATCCTAAGCCCTTCCCCCATGTGTGTTTTATATGACCTATGAGCAATAAGGTCAGAGGAAGAGTGCTGGTTTTGTCGAGCTCAGTAGAGGCGCTGAGCTTGTTTAGCATTAAGTGTTAATACAAGTGTGTGCAATCCTTGTATGAGAGTGTGAACTGAGTGCCAGCAAGAAGAGTCCATGGTTAGTTACTGTCTCTCAGCGTGGTACTCTGTAGGGGCACACAGCACAATTCATTAGAGGCTGTCTCCTAATTAGAACACAGAAGGCCATTATCATTACCATTTTCTGGAATTACAGCCTCGTGAAAAGAACCAGTGGCGAATCCTAATTATTGCCACATCCATTAACTGTACTGGCTTGAGTGATCTACCAGCGCTAGGCTTCCTTTCTGCTCAACTGTTCAGTCTGCACTTAACACAGGGCCTGGAGTTCTTTCTGGGTTTCCCAGAGACACGGTGCCAGTAGAGTATGACCCTGCCGGTCATTGACAAGGTGTATTTGTTTCTATCTGTCACAAGGTCACGGATGTTGGGTCAGTGCCTAATATTTATGTGCTTATGAAATGCAAGAACTCAATATTTATGAAATGCTAACATTTTGTGCACAAGTGATGAGGGTTCATGAGCAGGAGCTTTCAATCATGTCCAAGAAAGGCCCTCATCCTCACTCAAACCCCAGTAGTGGCGCTCATGAAGGACCGTTTCCTGGAGACGCCTGGCTCTCACCCACGTCAGGCTGTCATGGAGTCACGTTTATCTGTGAGTTCCTGGAGTGCTAACTTTGCTATCATTCTCTATTCTGTCACCTTGCAGATTTTCCTATGGATTCTAGTACTGGACACTGCAGAGGGGTGAGCACCGGTGAGTACAGGGTTGGCCCTGGCTTTCCTTTGTGGGGTGATCCATCTTTGATATGGTCTTCACATGTACGTTGTTCTTGCGGACACTTGCGTCCTGTTTTAAAAATAAACATAAAAGTGATTTCCTTATCTATATTGACTTTATGTTTAGTGTTAGTATATTAAAGTTGACCTCTTGGTTTACAGTTTGGTTTACAAAATGTTAATGAATATATAAATTCATGTAGTCACAGTTCAGGATAATTCGTACATATTATATATATTCGTTATATACATAATATATATTATATAATGCAAGTTTTACCTGCTTATCTCTTTACTCTTTATCTTTTTGTCTTATACTTATCTCTTTATCTCTTTAATACTTGAATAATATTCAGGTTGTTTTAGCTTGGGGCTTGCATAAAAGGAGCTACTATAATTATTCGTGTGCTTTTATATGAATATTAATGTTCATTTCTCAAGCGTAAATATCCAGGGATAGGATTGCTGGTCATGGAGGTAAGAGTTTATTTAACTTGGTTAAAGAATGCAAAACGGTTTTAAAAATACCTGTTCAGGTCTAGGGCTGTAGCTCCGTTGGTATGCTTGCCTCGCATGTATGGAGCCCTGGCTCCAGTCCCCATTCCCACATGCTAGTGCACGCCTATAATCCTAGCACTCAAGAGTTGGAGGAGAAAGATCAGAAGTTGAGACCAACCTGGGCTACATGCAACCCTGTCTCAAGGCAAAACAAAACCTCAGATATGACTATTAGGTTCCATACTACCAACATTACAGGAACTGTAGGCCTTCTGTAGTCTCATCGGTGTGCGGTATTGTCAGGTTTTTGTTTTGTTGAATTATTTTGATGTCTTTGTCATCTGATTGTCTTTATCATGAAAGTTGAGGGTTTTTTTTTCCCCATAATTCCTCATGTGGACAGTTATTTAGGACTGGATTCTGGGGAAAGGCAAATCAAACCAAACCAACTAACCCAACAAACAGAAAAAAAAAAGATAGGTAATAGTACTTGGGGTTCCATTCAAAGTCCTACAGAGAGGCTGGTCTTTCTAGCTTCCTAGGCTCAACTGCGTCGGGCTTATGCTCTCAACTAGTCTTCTGCAGGCGATGATTTCAGCACTGGGTCTATTTCCAGTCTTTGCAGTACCTTTTTATCCAGGTATGCCATCCCGGGGATGTATAATCCATCCTTAATTTTTCAGTCTGTGGAACATTGTTTAGTCAAATTCACACATAGCCACGGGCGAGTCCAGCAGCCTGCAGTCACTGATGCTAGGTCATGTCCCAAGCTCTTTCCTCTCTGTGAGCTCCCTGGTACTTTGCAGTTCCTTGGAGCATCCCATTTGGATCCTTGGTACAAAGTTAGGATCTTATTTTCTCCACTTTGTAGTTCATTTCCTGCATCCAGGGCCAAGAAGTGGATGGATAGGAACAAAACAAGATCTTCTAATGCCTTAGCCTCATTGGTCCCCTAATCAGGAAGGGTTAGGGTTTTAGGCTCACTTGACACACTAATACTGTTCCTGCTGCCCTGGGCTGGATTGCAAGAGATGGGGTCTCCACTTTGGGGGCCAGATCTACAATGCTCACTTCCAGACTGAAGGTTGTACGGAAACAGATTGGCAGATAAACGCACCGTCATCTGATGATGGGCCCGGTTTCCTTCCCTGAGCTTTCTGCTGCTGTTGTTTGAGCATTCCCATCCTTCATGCATGCTACTCGGGGTTCATTTGTTGAGAGAGAGAGAATGGGGTTAATTATTTCATCTTACCACACAATAAACCTTTTAATAAAGTGCAAAAAAAGTACAAATAAACCAAATAAGTCAGTGTATTTTTGTAGGTACTGTCTTGTAAAGACCACACACCAGGATAGTTAATGCTAGCCGTGTTCTAGAAGCTTCTGAGTCACATTGCTTTACCATGGCAGCTGCTAGTCAGCACTCCAGCACAGCCGTTAAATTTTGCCTGGCCTTGAATGGCCTGTGAATAAAGCCTGCCTTTTGTTGCCCAGCGCCTTTCTTTGTGATGCGCGAAATAGTTTTCAGTTTAATTGCTCACCCTCTCCACCACTAAACACACCGGGCATAATTCTTGTAGCCGTTACTGGGTATTTGGGTTGTTTCCCGTTTTTGCTACTGTGTCTGAAGGCTACAGAGTTGCTACATAGTTGTTTTTTTTTTTTTTTTTCTGGTAATTTTCACTGATGTTGTTCAGTATGCTATATTTTTCCAGGTACCTTGTAAGTGAAAAAGAAACGTGTGTCAGTTCCTGAGTAGGGTTTGAAGTACAGATGTTCACTCCTTGGTGACATTCATGGAGAATTCTCAGGTTGGCAGGTATTTGATCTCAGGTCCTGTCCAGCAAATGTAGCACCCCACCAGCCATTCACCTTATGGAATAGCAACCTATTTAGAACTATTTAGAATTTTTGAAAATGAAAACTTCATTTTAATATAATGCAGGGGTGGAGGGGGGATGGGAGAGTGTAGATGGGGCAGGCAGCCATTACTCTGATTAGTACTGTGTGCTCATTTCAATGGCCATGACTGATTTTCCATGCTTTGCTTCATCTCCCAGTCCCTCACCCTGATCCTGAGACAGGGACTAAGATCCCCATCCACACCCACAGCGGATTCCATGACAAGGCTGGTCTGCATGCTACTTTAGGCAGCTAGGCTGAGGATGCTCCATGGGGACCCATAGTGACCTAAACCCTGCTTTACAGGGGGTGCCCATCCTGGGTGCTTATTTAAAATAGCTTAAGTTGTGGTGATACCACGAGGAGCATTTCCTGTTACACAGAAGCAGTCAGACATTGTTGGTGCCAAGCGACTCTGAGCATCACTTGTTCTGTTGTATCTGTGTAAAAGAAACTAAAACACCCATTCGTTTAGTAACACAATTGGGCAGGCAGTCCTGCCGTGTGTGTGTGTGTGTGTGTGTGTGTGTGCGTGCGCACGTGTGTGCGCGCGGGCGCTCATGCTATCAATTTATCTGAAAGTCATGGTTAGAGCTTCAATGTGTTCATGAGCAAAGACATCAATAAAGAACATACAAAGCTGGATCCACTTGGAGCAGGCTGTGGTGGTGGATGCCTTTAATTTCAAAAGTTATTTAGAATTTCTGAAAATGAAAACTTTGCTGGGTGGTGGTGGCGCATACATTTTAATCTCAGCACTCGGGAGGCAGAGACAGGCAGATCCGTGAGTTCAAGGCCAGCTTGGTCTACAGAGTGAGTTCCAGGACAGCCAGAGCTACACAGAGAAACCCTGTCCCAAAAATAAAAGCAACAACAACAAAACCCAAACAAACAAACAGCCCCCCAAACAACAATAATAGCAATGTAACAAAAACAGATCCACCTGGAAAACTACAGAGGCAGTGCAGTGTTCCTGAGGTCGGTGTTTTCTGTCCCCTTTTCCAGAATGTTTCCCAGTATAATGGGGGCAAGGAAAACAACAGGGGAGCCAGAGTATATGTTGTTTGGGGGAGGGGGTGAGGTGGATTAGGGTGTTGAGGTGGGGAGGGGGTGAAGTGGAGGAGGGTGTTGAGGTGGGGAGGGGGTGAGGTGGAGGAGGGTGTTGAGGTGGGGAGGGGGTGAGGTGGGGAGGGGGTGAGGTGGAGGAGGGTGTTGAGGTGGGGAGGGTTGAGGTGGGGAGGGGTGAGGTGGGGAGGGGGTGAGGTGGGGAGGATGGAGGGGATGGGGGGAGCATTGATGTAGTCACATGTTTTCAAAAGTAAATGTAGTTTGTTCACACTCAGAAAGGCAGCAGCTGAAAAGGCTCATGCTAAAACAGGAAATGAGGAAGGCATGAAACTATTAGAACCCACATCAGGACCCCTCTCCAAAATGTCAAGCTGTCTGTGTCTGGAATTTGGGAAAGACGTTATTTCCCACTAATTAGTCTAAGTGCCTTAACACTTAACATTTTTCCCTTGTTTTCTTTGGAGATTATGACTCTGAACAGCTTCCAATTTGTGAACGTATTTTACTGTTATAAATCTACTATCATAAAAGAAATAGATGTTCTGTATTTACCTTGGGCGGGATGTGGAAAACAATTCAGGTCCATTCCGCTGAATTGCTTTGTCAAATCAACATGGAAAATTAAGAGGAATGTTTAATTCATTCAAGGAAAGGGTATGGTTTTTGTTTGTATTTTGTTTTTTGTTTTGTTTTGTTTTCTTTCTTTCTTTCTTTCTTTTTTTTTTTTTTTTTTTTTGATTTTCGAGACAGGGTTTCTCTGTAGCTTTTGGGTTCCTGTCCTGGAACTAGCTCTTGTAGACCAGGCTGGCCTCGAACTCACAGAGATCCGCCAGCCTCTGCCTCCCGAGTGCTGGGATTAAAGGCGTGTGCCACCACCGCCCGGCCTTTTCTGTTGATTTTGAGGAATGGTCTATGTAACCTAGTCTGGCCTCGAACTCCCTAAGCAGCTGAAGGTGAGCACGAACATATGATCCTCCTGCCTCCACCCCCTACGCACTGGGGTTACAGTTGGCGCCACCACACTTTGTTTTAAGCGTGGAAGAGGTACCCAGGCTTCGGACGTGCTAGCAAGCAGTCCAACAACTAAACTACAGTCGCAGGCCAGGATGTTAGCCTTTAAATAAACCAAAAATAATTCTCGTTTTCTATGTGTAATGACAACTAATGTAGAAGCATCAATATTAAAAAGACACAAACATTTCCAGGGAAGCAATAGTTGATAAATTCTGATGTATCGTTGTATGTGCCTGGCCCAAATGACTTCACTGGTCTCTCTGGAGATGGACGTCAGAGTGCACTGACCCCTGCTCTCCTTTCTGCGAAGTTCTGCTGACTGCCAAGGCTGGCTTAGCCAGGCACAGCTGGGGAAATTAGCATGGGTAAATTTGGTGGTTGGTTTTTACTCTTTACTATTTGGGGGCCCACCTCCCGATTTCACAGGGCTTTATTCTTACTAATTTATAGCCGTCCTTAGCTTGGCTTATTGTTGCTTGCCAGCTTTTCTTAAAT